TTGTTTTTTTTGGGGTGACATTGCAAGCTGGGTTTAAGCAACAACTTGGGTTGAGGAAAAACATCTTGGTTGGGCTTAAAATATTACAAGTCTTTAAAACCTGGGTCTTTCGGTTGAAAGTCATATTTCTTGTAACTATCAATTTCCCCTCCTGGCAACCAAGTCATTTTGGATATTAAGTATGTGGCATGCCCTGACAGTCGCGTGGATGCATTTAATACATGTGGCCCCCCAAATTAGGCTCCTAATTGACTTTCCATTGGTTTGATTTTCATGCTGAGTGACCAGTTTGTCAATGTACACGAACCTAAAGAATGCATTTTGTGACTATTTTACAAACTGCCATGATGGGCTGGCATGTTGGTGCATATGAATGTGCCCCACGGGTTAGCTCACGCCCGCTGCTCTAATTTAGAGGATACGGCGTTTCACCCACGCTCTGTCAGCATGTTTGCAGTAGTTAGCAGCCACTGGCTCCAAGCTCCCAGGAAGAGCGTTGGGTTTTGAGGAAAATTTTACATAGTGTCAGAATGGTGTAATTACCATTTCCTCATTCACGTGATGCATGGGGCCCAACAATTATTTTTCCCCTACTTGCATGGAGTTAAATGAACTTCCCAGTAGTTATTTAAATTGAATGTGATTGAGCCAGAGAATAAGGCTGGGTTAATGGAAACGCTGGTGCACTTGGTCCAATGGATGCAGTAGATTCAGGTATTATCAATTCTACTCAAGTCAAAACTTTTTAGCTACATACACCACAAAACCATCATAGGAATAAATTGGGAACATTTTGGTTGCCTCTCATTGTCTTATCCTGAAATTTTAAAGCTCACTTTTGTTCATACCTGCTTGTCTGTGGTCTTGCATTTGGGCCAGTAAAGGGGGTATTCTGTCTAATCACATTTAAATATTTAAGAACCTTAACATGCTCACTGTCGTTAATGGTTAGACGATATCACAAATAGGATTTTTTTTGAAAACATACGACCCAACAAATTATACAAAGATGGGGTCAAAAAAAAAGAAGCAAATTGAAACAGACTCAAGAGTATAAGAGAGACGAGGGTCCAGCAGCATATAGATAGGTGTGCGGGCGTTTGTATCCATCTTGTGTGATCCAGTTAATGGTTGTGATCCAGTTAACGCAGTTTGTCACTTTACGAAACTTAGAGTTTAATCCCAGTACATCGTTTCAGTTCCAGTAAGAAGTCCTTCTCGTATTCATGGACGCCAGTGACAGTCGAGCCTCCCCAGTTGTATTTCGCCGGTCTGCTGCGGCAGGTTCGCATCAAGGCCGGGATCCCACCTCCACCGGGGCACACGCCAGGCTGCGGTTGTGGAGCTGGGTCCCTGCGAACGTGTTAGTTGAGTTGTAGATCCACTTGAGTCTCTCACAAAAGTTTTCAAATGCTATGGTGTTCTCAGGTTAGCGTAGCGTAGATCCAAACACCAAGAGCTCAGTTAAAATGAAACACATTCCCAGCCATAAAATGTGCAACGCTTGTCCTATGAATGCAAATCACTGTCATAATCCGAGAGCGCAAATGAGATCCATGCGCGCTTGAAAATCAAACAGCGGCGTGCGTATTTTACTTTGACGAGCGCTTTTACATCACTCCGCAAGCAAAATGCCGTCTCGCGCAAGCAGAATTCACTCTCTCTCCTGAGCAAAAGTCGCTCGCGGAGCTTAAACCTGCTCGCTCGCGAGTCTTTTACCTGCTCGCTCGGGAGTAGTTTTTGTTTTTGACAGTAAGTGGGCGGACCCAGTCGCCATTGTAACTCTACATCTAATTGGTTACAATCCTCATCTTTGGATAAACAGGATATCACTCTGACGCAGACGCTAGGGGGAGATTTTCAGATTGCACTACAGGTCAGGGGCAAATAATGTACATTTTACTGCATGGGTACTTTTACTTTCTGCACTTAAAGTAGATTTTGCTGATAATATTGACTAAGGTTTTGAATGCAGATATTTTACTCGTAGTGGATTATTGTTTCATCAGTATGGTATTAGTACGTTTACTGCAGTGAAGGATCTGAATACTTTTTCCTCCACTAATTACTTGTCAGTGATTTAACAGTTAATATACAAACAGTGGTCCCTAATCTTGGCTCCAGATGTTTGAGCAGGTCCAAATTGTTGCTCATATTTTATACAACTATATTATATCTATTCTGTAAACACAACAGTATGATTAAATATGATCACATCATGTTTTTATCAATTAAGATCAAAGAGTTTCTTTGAGCTGTTTGTCACAAGAGGTTTGAGTATCAAACACACATTGTCTGTGATGGAGTGAATTTAAACCAATCTGTGCAACTTGACTTTAACACATTTTTAATTATTGTATTTAACAACTCCATTAACAATTTGTATTTCATTAGCCTCTACAGTCTACAAAACCTGTCAGACAAATGTAGAACATCCTGAGATGTAGTGGAGTAGTGTTTAGTGGCGATTGAAAACCACCTCTATCAGACCTAGCGTCTGCGTCAGAGTGATATCCGGTTTATCACGAGGATTGTAACCAATTAGATGTAGAGATACAATAGCGACTGGGTCCGCCCACTTACTGTCAAAAAGAAAAACTACTCGTGAGCGAGCAGGTAAAAGACTCGCGAGCGAGCGGGTTTAAGCTTCACGTTTAAGTGAGAGTGAATTCTGCTCGCGGAGTAAAATACATGCCGTTTGATTTTTGCGCGCGCATGGATCTCATTTGCGCTCTCGGATTTTGACAGTGATTTGCCTTCATATTCTCTGACGCTGTCAGCAAGAAATAACGTTCATACAAATCCTTTTCCTGGCTGAGTCAGGGCTGCCAGCTGTGGGGTTGACTGACATTTCTTACGATGCCCAGCTTTTCCTGAAATGTCCTTTCTTGAGAAAGGCGTTGTCAGCAACTCCGCCACTAAATCCGTTTCTCCTCCTTATTCAGCCATTGAGTGTTAAAAAACAAATCTAGGTAAAAAAATAAATAAACTACACCAAGCAAAACCCTAAAAATTTTATAATTTCTTCCATATATTTCAATTTCAACTCTTACTACTCCAACTAAGCTCTGCTGGCAAGTTAGGTTTCGTTTCACGGTAGTCACGTGCTCGCCCACTGACCAAACTGAGCTGCACATAATGCTGACGTAGTTGTAGGCCAGCTAGCAGGCTCTGGCACGTCAAAGAATACGCCCAACATGTCAAACTAAAGACCCGATTGGTTGAACACTGACAATCAATATCGTCCCCATTCATTTAAACTGCGCAGGCCTCGGGCCTCTCTTCTTACTTAGAGACAGAGGTGAAATCTGATTGGATAAAAGCGCTACTTAAAACAAGCTGCACTGGAAACAGAGCAACTGAGGAAGACCGTAGCTGTGCAATGAGAAAATAAGATAATGGGAAAAATATTTTCATAAATTACAATACATGGTGTATTTAAGAAAAAATATTAAATTATGAAATAGCTATAACTTTGGGATTCTGTTTAGGCCAGCAGAGAAGGCTTTGCAGGCCCCGACGGCCCACCACTGCAAATGAGGTTAGGTATTATACATTCATTTTTTTATGTACATGCATGTTTGTGCTTGCCTTAAAGTCGAGATCAGTGAAAAACAGATTTGAATTTTAATTGTGAGAAATTAACACATTTTGCACACCAAGTTAAGACGCCATTAACTGTAAAGGGAAACAGGAGCACTTCCGAATACATGTGTAGCCAGAAGTGAAATGTCCCTCCTGGCTACTGTAGGGTTAGGTATGCCTTAGCACCTCCTACTTTCTGGTTCCTAAATTGTTTGTTTACTATATAAGCCGTACCTACGAGCTGTCTCTCTCTCTGATCTCTGGTGTGACAGGTTGTACCCGTGCCGTGCGGTGCTTGGCTCAGACTCGACAGCGACCCTCTTTCCAGATGGGGGTTGCGCGGTGATCGGGGAGGAGAGATGCCATTTGGTTTATCCTCCGTGGCGCTCATTACTTTCCCCCAAAAATATTAATAGATTATTGTAGCTGCCATGTGGCACCAACAGTGTTGAACACTTGTTTTGTTTTTTCTGCCCGGGCGCTGCAGGACCGGTGGGAAGCGTGGCCGCCCATACGGTGGAGGGTTTGGTGATGTTTCTCACCTGTGCTTCACACATCCATAATCATGTGTTTGGTGGTAGTTTCCTTTGCACTCCTTCCACGACTGGTTTCTTTACCCTTCTGCTTTGCTGTGCGTGTCTGGTCCTGTAGCACTCCTTTTACTGTAATTTGTGGCATGAAGTATATTGTACATATACCTTTTAGGATATATTGGATTTCCTGCATTTTTAATACTGGTTAAAGTATTTGACGTAATAAACTTTGTAATCTCGGGGGAATCTCGTCTCAGTCCATCATTCACCGCCACATGTACCAATAGAGGATCGGTGGGCTTTTTGTTGTGGTTTGAGCCATTATTAAAGGGTCAGTGCAGTAAGTAAACCAAATCCGGGCCTTGCCGCAGCAACACAGACTTTATTCCACTGAAACATTTACATATTGCCAATTTATCGAGAAGTATTGTGCAGTAAAGCACACTTTCCTTCAGGTTTAAATGCCACCGACCAAGCTGTGTTTTTCGAAGCATTAGTATGAGAACATATTGCCTATACGCCACAACCCTATAACATTGTGACCAATGGTCAGTTTGACAGAATTAAAAATAGCTAGTCATTTTAAATTGGCCAGTTTGTTTGTGTATTGCAGTAATTTCTAACAATGCAACTACAGCATTTAGACTGGCAACTGTATCTTGGTTGAGTTTCACTCAAGCGTGAAGTTACCAAGACAGTGGTCATCGGTTTAGTTTGTACTCGTTCATTCTTCACCATAGTAATTAGTTTCGATTAATGCTCAGACACATGTGTTACCCAGCCCTCAGTTGAGACCTCATCCCAACCATATCAAAACACAACTACAAAAAAGAAAAAACATTTCCAGGGTAATATTTCCAAGAAAACAATGCAAGTCTGAAGTCCTTTTAAAATATTTTTTATTAGGGTTTTTTTAGCTCATGAGTATTGGTCCTGATGACACTTGTTCGATACGGTGGCCATCTGAAACAGACCGTTTTTGACCTGTGGAAGAAAAGATAAACGTTTTTTTTAAACACATGTTTCCCCAATTGGAGAACACAAACTAGAGTATTTATCCCATCCCTCATCTGAGCAACAAATGGAAACCTTAGTGTGTGCAACAGTGAAATGTTATCAGTGTGAGAAGTCTTACCTTTCATCCCCTCATCCTGGTTTGAACACTGCACATTACAAGCTCTACCCACTGGATAACTGGCATCGCAGATCACCACATCACAATGGACAAAGACCTACAAAATTTGAATTAATGTGATATTTATACTGTATACATTCGTTTTCCCAAATCTAAAGCCTTTCATTTAAAAAAAAAAAAAAAAAAAAAAAAAAAAAAAAAAGTCGTTGAAATTACCTGGAGACTCAAGTTGTCTTGGTCTTTGGCAAAGGCAAACATTGGGATCTCAAAGCGCTTGAAATTTGATGGATACTGAACTCTGGCATCAGGCAAAACAGGATGGAAGATCACCTGGTATGGGTCCCTTGGGTTTACACAGCTGAAGATACAAATAAAATTGTTTAATTAAGTACCCACTAATTAATTGTGTAAAAGATGTCCCAAGTCTGCAGTGTGACGCCCTCCTTGAAAAGTGTCCATTATGAGGGAAAAGAGTAATGCCCAGGTTTCACTTACATTTAGTGCGGGCGGGCAAATGCCCCAGCAAGGCAAGATTAAGAAGTTACCCGTTAATGATGAGGTCCCGTTTGGGAAGGGATGTCCTGTCGTCCTCCAACGTCGCCCAGCAGTCCACCAGCTCCAGCGATACCTCAGGGTTTCTAGATTTTATCAGTTCCACCTCAAAATACAACGGCTGTTGAAGGTACTTTGCGATGGGATCAGCTTCAACTCTGTGAAATGTGCTGTAGGAGGCATCTAAGTAAAGAGAAACAACTTGAACTGAATTATTAGAGATTCAGACAGTAATAGAAAAAAAAAAAATACAGATAAGCGAGGAAATTTAACTTTAATACATCATCCCACGAGCCAACTTGGTCATTAAGCCGATTAGGTTTAAAGATGCGTCAATTAAACTGTTATAAGTCCTATTACTTTGTACAACACAATTAGCTCAAAATAAATTTGTGCGATTGCCTCCTGGCTTTAGAGGACACCGCTAGTTTACCAATTTAGGAACAGGCACTGGCTTTCTTGAAAATCTTTTGACTACGAGTAGCACAACTGTCCAAGTAAGCCCAAAGCCTTCACTATGCAGGTTAATAAAAAGCTGATCCATATCCCTTTGCATTACCTGTAGAGTGTGCTTTTATGGCTCAAAAGAGATTCCTACTGTTGGGATACATGAAAATACAATGCATTCAGAACATCCCTTACCCAGAGCAAGTTTAATTTCAACTTTTAGCTCGCCGATTGCATTCTTAGCATATGGTTCACTCCTGCGAGGTCTGTTGTTGAAGGCCACAGCGTGGTTTGTGTTTATGTCAAAATAACAAGCAACCTTTAGCCTGAAGAAAGGGACAACCCAGGAGATAAATTAGTCAGTGTGGCGGTGGAAATTGAACAGCATCCACATCTTTTTTTAAATAAAGGAATTACATAAGTTTTACTTTAGGGCTGCAAATAACTATTTACTATTGTTAATCTGCTGATTTTACTTAAAATTATGTTTCATCTCGCAAATAATAGGGTGAAAAATGTCCAAGGTGACATTTTAATTTATCAGATTAATAGACAAGAGCTTTGATGAGACCATCTACTCATTTCAGCTCAATGAGTTTTTAAGTTTCAAGACACTCACTCATACTCAGGCTCGTCAGTCTTGGATACCCTTTTCATTGCATCTGGCAGAGAGATGTCATTTTCATACAGCATCATATTGGGCAGAAACTAAGAAAAGAAAAAGTTAACTCAATGTTTCAATATCAGGGTCAACAGTCTACAACCAGGGAAACAGTCAGCAGTACCTTTCTGGTCGTCCCACAGGAGTTCCCAGAGAAGACAAAATAAGCATAGTGGTCATCGCTGTGGGAGGGCCCACAGGTGGGGTCTCTGAGGGTGAGCCGACTGGGCTTCAGACTGGGAACAGACTCCAGTTTCATAGCCAGAGCGGTTATCGTGCCATTAGAGAAACACTCTGAAAAGGAGGAGGCGCAGACATTAGTATGCTTGAGCGTTTTGTCTTGACATAAGAAACATATTTCCTCTAACAAACCAGTCAGTCTTGGAAAGAAATTGCAAGCCACAGAGAATTCTTTAATATTTTTGTTGGCTGGAGTCCTCAGAGACACGTCAAGTCTGCTCCTGATGGATGACGCCTCAACAGCCTGACAAGTTGTCAGAAACAATAAAGGTTTAGACACTCAAATGACAATCTCTACAACAAAAAGGTCACCAAGATATATCCCTGCACATTTACAATTTGGTTAAGAAATGTAACTGATTGTACCTCAACCATGACATCGACGGCAGAAAATGGTACTGAAAAACTGAAGTGTGTGCCATTGTCCATTAAGCCATATTCCTTAGCCAGGAGTGAGGTCAACAGTCTCCTTCCCACTAGTGTCTGAAAGTTGAAGCCGTGGGTTCCGTATCTCACGAGGACATAGAAGTATTGATAATCACAGCCACCAGCGACAGAGGGAGGAACTGCAGAAGGGGGGGGTGGGTGGAGAAACCCAGATTAAAAGAAATTTTCCCATTTTGTTCTGAATTAATCCATCATATTCATAACTACAGACCTTTGTTTTCCAATCTAGCTTCCAGAGAAGCTGTGTGAGAAAATGGTGCATACTCTGGCAGAACCAGCAAGCCAAAGGTCAGCTGAAGAGTGTAGACTGTAATCTCCATTTCTTCCTGCTGGGAAATAGAGCGAATAGCTGTCAAAGTTAAACCTTTTTTTTGCATTTAATTTCCCAAGTTGAGAGTAAAGCTCACCATTTTTAGAACACCACGGTCCTTGAAGGGTATTTCAAGTGTAAAGACTTTCGAGCAGCTCTTGGGGGACATGTGCTCCAGGACTTTAAGGCCTCTGGCACTGCAGTCTGCCACAGATAAAACCTCAGAGGAGATGGTGATGTTCATTAGTGCCACATCAGAGCAGAAAGGCCCAAGCTGCACCTTAAATACCCGCTCCTCAGGAACAGTGTCTGTGGGGCAAAAATAAAGAGTAATTAAGACAGTGTGTAATACATTTAAAAATCACAAGAGTACCAAGATAATATGACTTACTGTCAGTAACTTGTGGAGATTGAGACAGCAACGGTGTCGTGATGGGAAGGAAGACTTTGTATCTCGTGTCCTTGTAGGCGGCATTTTCTGTCCAGAGCAACTCGAGCATCAGCTCAATTGTATAAGTAGTGAGATACTGACCATCCCAAACATGACTCTGCAAAAATCAAAGATCCTCAGTAAGGCCTTCCTTGAAATAAATCATCTTGAGCTAAAGTTTGACCCTGTATCTTGTTTATCTGAAGGCCAAAGAGCTTTCAGTTGCACAGAAGTGGAGTGTCAATCCCATTTTCTTTTGAACAGATATGATTTACCATCACTTGACAAAACCCTGACATAATTCTAGTGTGCCTCAAGACAGCAAGGAGGGACCATTTAATTACAGCATTTACACAGATTCTCCACCTTTATAAAACCAAAATGTTTGTGAATTGTGCAAAATGAAGGTCAGCACATCTGAAGGTTTTTGGATATTTTGTTTAAGACTCAGCATGCGGAATCCGCCTTTTTAAATTTATGATGTCTTTTAAGCCCATGGAGACATTTATATGCATGAGAAATATAAAAACCCAATTTATTCACATATAAAACTGACCTTAAAGTGGCCACCGACAGCCCCAACAGGGATTTTGGCAAGGATGTACACGTTATTGACGGACAGGGAGTAATGTCTGGCAGCCATCTCGGCAACGTTGAGCCTCTGGCCATCGACACCCATGTGCACCTCCAACAGTTGAAACTGGCCAGAGGAAGTCAAGGGCTCAATGCGCCTCGGCAGGAACCAGCTGATTGAGTCCGGAGTGAAAAAAACACTACCTGTACACAAGGCGAACACATACAGCACTTAGACAAGGAAAGACCCAACATGGACACATTTCATTTATTGTCGAGTCTGAGAATACTGGAATCAGTAATAAAATACCAACTATGTCCAAGTTTAAAGACATTTTCAACTGATGCAACCCCAAATTCTCTGAGAAACTAAAGACATGATGTCAGTGGTTGCTATAGCCCTGCTTACTGCTCCCCAAACATTACCGTCTAGTATTGGGCAGGCAGCGCCAGCATGGATTTGAGTCGCCAGCTTCTTCTCAAATACTATTGAGGTTTTGAGCACAGACATGGGCACACCTGCTACCTGCGAGGTGAGATTACAGATCATCATGTCAATGCTTTATTAAATCCATTTAATGCATAAGGATGTGGGTACTTCAATATAACAATGTAGACAGTCCGAATACATCATTTGTTCCAAAACCAATAGTTCACCAGCTGTAAGTGTAAACAAGTAGTTTGTTAACAAGCAAGGCTTGTTTAAAAACTTACATTCTGGATGTACGTTTCAGGTGAAGTTAATGGGCTTCGCAGAACCAGCCTTGTAGGAGTGTTTGAGATCCCATAACCTCTTCTGTGGGCCTCAGTCAAAGGCATGATCTTCTCCTCAGGAGTGAAGAACGTAATAGTTTTGATTTTGAATTCTGCATCCATGGGCTGTTTCTGTGAAGCAAACATCAAAAGACAGTTAATACAGAAAGGGATGTTTCCAGAATATTAAAAAAAGGGCACAATAAGCTCTTACCTCAGCAGCACCAAACTTTTTAATGCTTGAGATGGGATGGTCAGGCAGTGCGTAATAATTTTCAGCTGTCCTTTTCACAGACACCTAGAAATAAGGCAAAATGATAGTCAATCCCTCCGCTTTCAAATGTACCAGCCTTGACGACCAATAAAGCCACTTATAATATAGACTGGAACATGACCCCAGAGAGTCCTGCTGCATTCACTTGCCTCCATATAGTTGCGGTCACAGACAATTTCCCTGGAGGCCCAGGCAGTGTAGCGGCAGGTTTCAACCACCTGGTACAGCTCATCTTCAGCCACCTGGTTCCCATGCAGTCGAAGATTTAGTCTTGTTGTGAATGCTTCGTCGGCCTACAAAACACAGAAAATACTTTAAATTATCACAACATCAAAAGAGACATTAAGTGCTACTCCACAAAAATCACGTCGCCAGTCATTTTACCACATTTTGAGCAAAGCAGTTTTGAAGAGAGGCAAAAATCACGATGTTCCCCAGCTGGTCTATCCTCGCACTGAAGCCACACTGAGAAGCTAAACTTGGTGTAAGGAGAATTGAAGAGTTGTCTGAGAAGGAAAAAAAAAAAAAGGACAGTTAGAAGAGAAAAGGTGAGACAAAGTAAAAACAAAAAAAAAAATGAATTCATTCAGGAATGTCATCTTACTAAAGACAACAGACACTTCAAGAAGATTTCCTCCAAGTGGGCCGATATCCAGACGCATGACATTCCCCAGGCATTTTGAGTGAATATCTGGGATTTAACATTTACATATTAGTAAGAAGCATATAGTAGGATTAAAATAATGTTAGAAATTGACAAAAACTTACTTATAGAAGGCTTCTTTTGAGCCTCTATGTTTACAACTGCTATCAGGAGAATCACCAACCTGAAAGAGATTGAATCATTTTTAAAAGTAGCATGAAAAATCACAAACTTTGAGTGAAGTCAATGGATAAAAACTACAAACCCAAATCCACCGCGACCACCCATTGCACAAGAGATGGGGAAACTGGTAACCTATGAGTCCCTGTCTTTGCAATTTATACTAATGTTTGTGGGAGGAATGAACCCCACAGTCTCAGGATTAGGGAGGTCCCTGCTCAACTACACACAGGTGAATCCTATTACAGCCTGATTGAGGTTGTGCGGGCCTGTGTCTTGTATTCTGGCCTGAAGTAAGTCCCAACATGCAATGCAAAGAGGTTGATTGACTTAGTTAAATGGTAAATGATAAATGGACATGTATGTATATAGCTCCTCCTGCTAACTTAAACTACAAATAAATAAGTTACAAGTTCCAAAAGCTTTTTGGGAAATGTTTTTGTTGTTAGAAATTATTGGTATGAAATATGTGTAGTATAGTATAAAACATGTTTTAAATATGTATCCTTATTTTTATCAATTATGTTTTTAGCATTTTGGCAGGAAATGAGTTGCAACAAAGTCCTCTGACAAAGTTAAATTAGGGCTGTTGTGGTTCATGGTCAGCATCTTAAGTCCGAAGCCATGGGGACACCACTATTTAGAAGTTTTCATAAATAAGGAAGAAGGAAAAAAATCGCACCAGATCACAAACCTTTCAAAAATTAAAAAGCAGAGTCACAGTCACATCATACATCAAATAATGAGCTGTAACGATGAAATACACATAAATTAATTCATGAATTCTTACAACTGAAAAGCTGGACAGAGATAATGTTTTTGCTTAAGAAACGACTTCATCTGTGTTTATCGAGAGTTGATTTGTTTTATGTTGATCGGCTGATGCCTCCTCATCTCTCAAGGTTTTGTCGCAGTGCCCCTCTTCAATACAGATTCTGATTCAGATAACTTTGTTTTTCCCTTGAAGGGCAATTCCTTTAGCTTTACCCAGTGCATACACATTAAAACATTAAAAACTCACAGGAAGGTATGTGTCACAGGCAACAGATTTACATGGGTCAATATAATAGATGACGAGCAGCAGTATAAGTAAAATAAACCATTTTGGTTCAAGAAGAATATAACAGTCTTTTAAAAATGACTGCCAACACACATATATACATACATACACACGCAGCATAAGTAGCCACAAAGACAGGGCACGGGGCGCTGAAAAGGTGCACAAATGTGTATTTACCCTGATGACACAGAGAGATGTTAAATCACCAAATTCATTTCAGGAGCAGAACAGAGATCCTCTGCAAGCATTTGGTGCTTTTAGGATCTAGTTTTATGCTGCAGGCAGCACATCTGTGAGATACTGAATGTATTTTTATTGAGGTAATAAAATGATGGATAGAAACCCCCTCAGCTAGGCTGGGACACAGATGGGGAAGAAAAACATTGCCACATTACAAATTGTCAAACAGTTCTGAGAGCAATGACAACCAATAGCAGCTTTTTCAAATCTGCTGCCACTATATAGGTACGTTGTATTTCCCCCTTGCTGCCAAATACAGTGTTACTGCCTGCTTTGGCAGTTAGCCTGCCAGCAGAGCTTTCTCACAGAGGATTGAAATGTCAGTGTGATTTTACTACTTTACTCCCTACTGCTCCTGACAAGCTGTGTTCTTCACACAAGTAGAACCAATTTTTAGAACATTAAACATGCATACAATTAGTGCAGGCTCACTGTTTACTAAAGGAAAGTCATGATCTTATAATAAATCGCAGCGTTAAATAGGCCAATCACAACAGAACTAAAGCGTCCTTTAAGGATAACAGGCTATAAACGTGATATGATGAGTAAAGTGCTATTGAAAAAACAAAAACGACCGTGTAGTTTTACAGCAGGGTGTTCCTACATCTGTGCACTCCCTCTCCCTCCCGTCTCCTCGCCTCTCTCGCCCCTCCCTCTTCCCTGTAAAAGGGAACAAACTGCCGCCGTGCTGTTGTCCCGCCTCCAGCTCTTCTTGTCCCGTTCGTGAAGCTGCAGCACCGCACTCCCTCCACCCGACCTGCCATCTGCCGCACTTTGCAAGAATGTGAAAACTAAACCACCCTGGTAAAAGTTATTTTCATGGAAAGAAAAGCTTCGAGTGCAGGTACGTTTCAGTTTCATGTTTTGCATTGAGTTTTAGTCAAATTTGAAGTTATTGATTTATTTGTAAATAGGGTTTGGTGAATAACATATTTTATGTATGAGTAGGCATGCAAACCAGCACGTTGCTCTGATTGGTAGAAGAGTAGATATTAGGACAGAACAATTAGAAATATACATATGCAGGAAAACAGTCTCTGGCTTTAGTGATTGCTTGAAATGATGTGTGGGTTCAGTTTCAACTCACTTTCTCTGAATTAGTCTATACCGCTCTGTAATTTGATTATTCTGGTGATAACCCTGTACTTGAGCCCTGGAAGAAGTGACAGCACCTCACGCCTCTTCACTCTCTCCAGCTCAAGCCATTTCCTGTGTGTGTTGTATTGATTTTTGAGTTCCTTCAGAGGACTAATGTGCTACAAACAGTGTAGTCAAATATGTCTTGATAGACGTCCCTCCATATATATTTACCATTTACTATCTAGACTTTATATTCTCGTGGGGCATAAAAATCTATAGAACTGGCATGCTTCATTTCTCATAATGTCTCTGTATGTATCGTCAGGACCATGGGGTACGGGCAAATCCTCCACCGGCGGGGGAATGAGGAGGACCAGGTGCACCTCAACGTGGGAGGGGTTCGACACGAATTGGATCCGAGCATGCTGCTCTGCTTCCCTCACACACGCTTGGCTCGTCTGCTGCACTGCCAAAGCGAGGCGGCGATCCTGGAACTGTGTGACGACTACAGCCCGACCGACAAGGAGTACTACTTCGACCGGAATCCACATGTTTTCCTCAGTGTGCTCAACTTCTACCACACAGGACGTATCCACATGATGGAGGAGGTGTGTGTCTTCTCCTTCAGCCAGGAGATCGAGTACTGGGGAATCCCGGAGCTTCACATAAGCCCCTGCTGTAGCTACTGGTACCACGAGAGGAAGGATTACATCGATGACAGAGACTGGGACGTGAGGAGCGACGACCAACCGCAACAGAGTTTGGACTCCTCCTTTGAGGAGCTCTCTGCTCTAGATAAAGACCTGGCCAACTTCAAAGGTGCCTGGTGTGCAGAAGTGAGGAGCTACATTTGGCTCAGGCTGGAGGATCCAGGTCACTCAACAGGTTCAAAGATCCTCGCTGTGGCCTCTCTCGGCTTGGTGCTGACCTCTATCGTTGCCATGTGTGTCCACAGCATGCCTGAGTTTCAGCAGGTGCATGACAACGAGAAGCCCACCGATGACCCTGTCCTCTCCATCCTGGAAGAGATCTGCATTGCCGGCTTCTCCGCCGAGTTCATCATCAGGCTGATTGTTGCGCCCTCCCGCAGGAAGTTCCTTGGAAACCCCTTAAACATCATCGATGTTGTCTCCATTTTGCCATTTTACGCCACTTTAGCTCTGGAAACAGCCGACGAGGAGGCCGCAGAGGAGAATGAGGACTTGGAAAACGTGGGGAAGGTGGTGCAGGTTCTGCGCCTCATGAGGATTCTCCGTATCCTCAAACTGGCTCGCCACTCCATCGGGCTGCGAGCGCTGGGCGCCACCGTCCGCCACAGCTACGAGGAGGTGGGTCTGCTCCTTCTCTTCCTCTCGGTGGGGATCTCCATCTTTTCTGCCCTCATCTACTTTGCAGAGAAGGAAGAGCAGGACACAGATTTGGGGTCCATCCCTTCAGGCTGGTGGTGGGCCACAATCACCATGACCACAGTCGGTTATGGTGACACCTGCCCGGTGACGCTGGCAGGGAAGATAGTGGCCACCTTGTGTATCATCTGTGGCCTGTTAGTGGTGGCTCTGCCCATCACCATCATCTTCAATAAGTTTTCAAAGTACTACCAAAGAAACAAAGCCATGGAGGCACAGTGTATCACTAAGCCTGAAAGACAAGACCCAGAGATCCCTTACTATAGCATCAGAGACCTGTTCACAGGAGGTGTGTATCCCTTCATTGGAGGTATCGCCTTCAGGAACAGTGTGAGCAGCGCAGGTGACACTACAGATGCTTCTAGTCTCCAAGATTTAGAGGTGTATGATAATGACACTTGTGAAAATGGGTCAGTAAAATGAAATTCTGCCATTTCACAGTTTCGCTCCCTTTTATGACTGCAAGTCACTCTCGTGCCTCTCAGGGCTGCTCCATCACTGACCCTGCCTCTCTGCATTGTCTTCCCCCTGCAATTTGACAGAGAAATATTGTGGCCATCATTTCTTTTTTTTCTACAAGGGAAGAGCTTGTGAAATGTACAGCGCCGCTAAAACCAGGAAGCCTAATGGGAATTATTGCAGCCTTGCTTGGAGGTTTGAAAGCCCATTTTCTGCTTGAGAAAATTGCAATGATGCATGTAGGAGGACATAATGTTAATGTTTTCTCAAAGTAATGTCCTTTATTGATTTGTCTGCTCGCTGAAAGTTCAGACAGAGAATTTTGCCAAAAGCCTAGAATGACAACAACACTGTTTGATGTTTCAAAATGGTATTATAGAGCTCTAAGTTCACTGATGTTGCACAGCCTGCATGAACAGAAATAAATACATTTTGAAAGAGAGTAATGTGTAGAATTATGCAATATCATTGATGCTACAGAGAAGAAGAGAGGCCACACAACTCTCTTTTTAATTTTTCTTTTGGACAGTTTTGGCATGCATGGTGACTCATGGAGGTTAATTCATGTGGACATGAAATAAAACTCATGCAACATGGCTCTCATTTGTGATATGGCGTTAATTGAACTAATCACTCGTTCAGACAAGGTTTTCAGCTCAGGGTCATTGCATTATTTATCGCTATGTGTTTGTCACTAAAATGACTCTAAAATACAAATATAAATCATCAACAATGTATTTTCTTCAGTGGTGAAATGCACTGGAAATGTAATGGAAAGTGTGTGTACCTCTTCACTCTTCTGTTCCTGAAAGCATTGATTTCCTGTCCCCTGTTGTAATCTCCGGTTGGGTGCAGCCGCTGTCCTAGAGCGAGAGATGCAAAAGGTCTTTTCTCTTCAGGGGTCTCAACGGGGTTCATGAAGT